GCCCCAGACTGTTCGATGGAATGAACATGATAGCCATGAACAACATGTCGCAGGAAGTTGTCACACCCAGTCTTTGTCATAGTCCTTGCCAGCCGTTTCCATGTCGCAAAGATGGTCCACGATCCGGCGGTAACCAAGATTAACGACACCCAGATCGACACTTCCTTTCCGCGTTCACTCTTGATCTTGCTCATCGTTAATAATCTTTCCCTCCATCTTGTATTATGGGTCTTGGGACCACGAAGCGCACCCTGACACTGCAGTCGGTGAGTTTCCCTTTTGTTGCAGTGCGTGCAGGTCTTGGGTTGGGGAGTGAGAACGAGGAGGAGGAGGAGGAGGAAAAGGATGAGGAGGCGGAGGAGGAGGAGGCGGAGGAGGAGGCGGAGGAGGATGAGGAGGAGGATGAGGAAGAGGAAGTTCATGGTTTATCATATCAGATCGATCACATCCTCCCAGGCCCAGTTGCGCGCATACTTTACGCCCAAACGGGTTACTATGCTTGCCCTCTTTTTTGCAACCTCGCACATCTTACTCGCCCATTGTACCAACATTCTTTCAACCACGCACACTTGCTACTCATATGCTCCAGCTCTGACGCTCAAGCCCGCGCAACGCAAACAAAGTGCAACCGCTTTCGAGCGCACGCTCGCAGACGTGTCTCTCATTGTTCGCGCCTCTCGTGGCAGTCTGTTGTTTGTTCTTCCTTTGTCCATAGCAGCCATCACAGAGGCAACCTTTTTTGTGTCCAGTGGCCAGAACAGAGGCATCACTCTATGCTTGCTCAACGCTCAGGAGGGAGGAGGAGGAGGAGGAGGAGGAGGAGGAAGAGGAAGAGGAGGAGGAAAAGCGGAGTAGACATTCGCCACCAGTCCTCATGCAGGCGCAAGTCCAAGATTCCTTGCGCGAAAGTTCAGCGGGAGTCTGCAAGGCGGGTTACATGGTATTTTCAATTTCAACGTGGGCGTTAGACGGATTGATCCCTGGAAGCTCGAGTATGTGTTGTGACGAGCTGCATTTTTTCGAAGCAGAGAAACAGCGCCATAACATCGCGGACTTCCGAACGTTTATCATTATACAGTTTTTCGTATTCGAACGACGGTAGACTTCTACTCGTCCTCTTCCTACAGTTGGCGCGCTGCTGCTAAGGATTATCAACCTGCTCACCGATAAGAACCCCATCCAGGTCTATGTGGACGCCGTCAAGAACGGTGGGCCGCGTGAGGACCCGCCCCCTTTTCCCCCACCCTGCGGGTCGTGCGGCGAGCGAGCTGGCCAGATCTTAGGTGACGATTGGCGAGACCGCGTGTGCTGACTGCAGGTTTGAGCCGCCTGTGGACGGCGGCGACGCTGGCGCTGGCGCTCCAGGTCGATCGTCCTCGGGGGGCACCTTCCGGGCCCAGGATCGGTGTAGGGGTATGGTTGGCGCCCTCCGACCTGATGACTGCCGCGCGGGCCCGCAGTACCAACGCCCTCACGCCGGGCACGCGGCGTCTGGGACACGCATTCTGAGGCGCACGGTCGGCTTGTTTCCGCTGGGCACGGCGCCGTCGCGCGGGCGTGTGGCCCCTCCTGCGATCAGCCAATGTTGGCGGCGCCCACAAGGTGGTGGCGCGAGGGGGCTGGGATTCTGAGAAGGCGGAGGGGCCTCCTAGAAGGCAGGGGCCTTCACAGAAGGGCCTGGGGGTGTCCAAGAAGGCTTTCCAGAAGCCAGGAGGGCTTCTAGAGGCCGCCTGCCTTCTTGGAAATCCCCCCCCCGCCGCCTTAGAAGACCGCCCCCCTGCCCTGTGGGGCGCCGTCAACACTGCCAACCATGCGCAGGCTTTATTTTGTCGTGGGCCGAGCGTGAGACTCACTCTTCGTCGGTGACGGTTCGAAAGGAGACCGTCCTGGGTCTTGCCAGGACGTTAGAGGTCTGGGTTCTCTGGCCATGCAGTTGGGACCAGTGCGCACGGAAAGCCTGAGTTTTGGAGGGTGCCCAGGGCTCGAGAGGCCTTGCTTCTGCATCTCCTCGGGGGTCCTCGTGAGTCTGGGCGCAGCAAGGAGGTCGCTCCCTACTTGGGCCCCTCGTGTCGGCGCTTTCACAGTAAGCCGGGCCAGGCGAGGGCTGCTCGCGACTATCCTCGACGCCTCTTCGGGAGACGGCTCTCGGCGGGACGCGGCTGCAGGCAGAGGTCCTGGCCAGGAGCCCCGAACCAACAGCGGTCGCCCACATACCCCCGCCCATTCGGCCACCACCCGTACCGGGTTCCCAGGGTGTGCAGGCGTTTTATCCAGCTGCTTCCGGCAATCCCGCCACCGTGCCAGCGCAGCATTCTGGGTGGCAGCTGCTCGCGAAGGCAATGAGGGCCTGCTGGGGGCCTCTTGGGGCAGAAGGCTCGAATTCTGGGTTCGTGTCCCTTCTCTTGGGCCCCTCTTGGGGCTGTTTTGGGGCCCTGCTGGGCAGTCTCTTGGGTGGTCTTGGACCGTAGAGCACACAACCGCCTCGCTCTGAGTGTTGCATCACGAGGCAAAAATGCCTACACGATGTTATACTGGCCTCCCGAGGCCACTCTGTCAAAATGTCCGCGACATGTTCGGTATAACGCAGCAAAACGTGAGAAACTTTCTGTGTTGCGAAGTTGATGAGGACCTAGCGCTACGAGACAATTACAGGTTACGCTAAACTCATCAACGTTTCCAGTATCTCCAACGTCTAGCGGAGGGAAGACGGGCGGAGGGATAGGAATGACGGAGGTGAGATAATGATGACGGAACATGGGGAGGAGCAGAGGGAGGCAGGATGCAGGAAGGAGGGGCGAGGAAAAGGAGGGGAAGCTTTCTTTTTTACGCGTCGCCCGCCCCCCTCGGGGGAGGCCGTTGGATTGGATTCGAGCGGACGTGGCACAGGGTGTTCTCCGTTGCCATTTTGGCTCAGACGATCGCTTGGTCGGTTCACATCTTTATCGAAGTTCATATTGCTTGTGTAACACTATGCGCATTAATCCCCATCATGCCACGACCTGACATAGGAGATGTGCAGCATTTGGCTGTTCAGGTAAACCAGCGGCGGAAACAGGACCGACTGGATGCAGAGCGACGGGTCATGCCAAGATTGGCTGCAGCCGCTGTTCGTGCAGTGACAGCTCGACCAAAGTTGATGCACGTACCGTTTGAGATTGTGAGATAGTGCGTGTGTCACGTGTGTTTATGCACCACTCGCTGCTGTTTGACATCTAGGGCCCCCTTGTTGCCACCGCGCTAAAACGCAACATAATCACACTGGTAGCGGAGCTACTACACGATCCCCGTATCGTACCACTGCGCGCACGTCTCGCCAGAGAATGTCGCACTACCTCTCTTTACTTTCTGTACTGGCAGTTTCCCCTGCTTGGGGACTGAACCTTGTGCCATGGCACTTTCTTCTCTTCGGTATCGGCCGAGTGCCGACGCGCTGACGCGGTCCGAGACGAAGAGTGGCTCCTACATCTACGACGGCACGGTGAACAACTTTCACGAGTGGGAATTCCGACAGAGATGCGCATGAGTGCCGCCTTGGTTTCAGTGGATCAAGAGACGGGTGCGCCACAGCAACACGTGATCACCGCAGCTGTCAACAAGGTTGTAGAAGGTTTTAGAGGTGACGCAGTCGATATTGCCATGGATATCGGTAAGGACGTGCGTCTGACTCCGAATGGGATCGATCAGCTGGTGCTGGCGATTCGTATTTCACTCTTCCCCATAGAGGCGCAGGAAGCGAAGATCCTGTTCCAGGTGAGGCAGAGACCATATGGACCACTGTCCCGGAAGCACGGTGAGTCTATGGTCTCGTACATCTCCCGAATGAAACGCTGGTGGAAATTTGTCTCCAAGTTGGGTCCTGAGATCTTGATGAGCGACGGTCTGCTTGGCTCCCTTCTCTTGGACCGTGCAGGCCTCTCGCCTTCGGAGAATCTGATGGTGTTGACATCCGCAGGAAATGTGACAACCTTGGACAAGATCAAGGACGTCTTTATCCTCCAGCACGGCCGCATACACATCCGCCAAACGTGCAAGGGTGAGTCTGGTAAAGGCTCCAGCTCTTCGACGTGGACGCAGCCCAGGTCCAGCTACCAGAACGGGAGCAAGGGCGAGGGCAAGGTGCGCTTCTCCAGACCACAACGCGCCTTCTACACTGCTGATGAAGGATGGTACAAGCAGGAGGAGCGCTACCCTGAGGAGCTGAGTTCTTACGGGTATTGCGCGTTCGGCCATGCGTCAGAGCGTTGCTGGGGCGACGCGGCCTGGGGCGACTACGCCGACGAACGCACATACGTCGACGAGGAATCGTATGCTCACTGGGCTCCTGTCCAACATAGCAGTGAGCTCGACGTCGAGGTGGTTGACGAGATGGTCCACAAATGGCGCTGCCGCAGGCCCGCAAGCCCTGGCCGCTGCGCGCCAACGATGGGTGCCCGGCGCTCTCGGCTCACGCCGCGCGCGACTTCCGTCGTCGCGCGCCACTGCGCAGCCAAGCAGCTGTCCGGGCGCAACTACCAGGGTGGTGGGTGGGGAAAAGCGCGGCGCAAGCCGATGCAAATGTCGCACCTGCGCGCGCAGCGCGCGCAGCGGGGCGGACGCGCCCCCCCCCCCCGCGCTAGCGCGCGCGCCCTGCCGATCCATCGCCTGCGAGCGAGCGTCGCTGCGGGCGGGCGGCCCTCCCCGCGCGCGCGCGCCAGGCCAGCGCGCCCGCGCGGGTCGCGCGGTGGTTGGCGGGCGCCGCGCCGCCGGATTGTGCGCGGTGTCTGGGCAATCGTCCGCGCCATTTGTGCCGCCCCCCACCTCCGGAGCGCCGCGCTTTTTCCCGGCCCCTGGGCGGACGCGGGGGCCCAATCACAAATGGCGCTGCCGCGGGCCCGCCAGCCCTGGCCGCTGCGCCCCAACGATGGGTGCTGGGCGCGCTCGGCGCACGCCGCGCGCGACTTCCGTCGTCGCGCGCCGCTGCGCAGCCGGGCAGTTGCCCGGGCGCAACGACCCAATGCACCGCGGGCGCTGCGAAGGCTGCGCTGCGGCGGGGCTGACGCCCCACCCCCGCTGAGACAAGCGACGATGGTTGCCGCGCGCAGCCTTGGTGACAGGCGCGGGGCGGCGCTGGCCGTCAGTGCAGCTCTGTGGGCGACTGCTGTGCCGTCGTGCCTGAATTATTCGGGCTCGCTGCCATTATCGGACTCGTCGATGTGCGCCTCGCGGCGCGAGGCTCACTTGTGCTGAGGGGATGCGGCTCGCGGGCCGCCTGGATGACTGCGTCTCTTACTAACTCTTCTTCGTCGAGGTGCGCTAGGAAGGCGCTTGGCCTGGTCGCGGTCCGCGCGCCCTCTCGAGCGGGTCGGCCTGCCGCGCGACGCCGGCCGACGTCGGGCGGGAGGGCGCGGCGCGGGGGCTCGCCGAGCAGCCGCGCGTTGCGGGCGAAAGGGCGCGCCCCATTGCCCGCGAGCTATTCTGCGGGCACGGCTCGCTCCGCGCCTCTCGCGATGGCGCGGAACTGGCAGGCCGGCTTTATTCTGCGACGGGCGCCTTCGAATTTGCATGGCCAACCCCCGCGGCTGAATCGCTGCGCTGGGGGGCGGCCCATGTTCCCTGGCACGCTCGGCGCGATGGCGCTGGCGCCGCGGTCCTTTGGGCCGCGCGACCCTGGCTGCTCGACGCCTTGGGCGAGCCCTCGATGGCATCGTCTGCCGCCCCCTCTGCGCGGCGCGCGCGCCGCGCCTGGCGCGAGACCGCCGCGCGGCCGCGACGCGCGCGCTTCGCTGAAGAAGGAAGACACCGATGCGGAAGATAGTCGAGTTCTTGCGCCTCCTCGGCGACACAGGCGTCCTCGTGTCTTTCGCGGCGTCGCGTTTGCCCCAGCCGTTGCAGCCGCTGGGGCCAGTGGGGCCCCGACCGCCTGTGCCGCCATGCCAATGCGACTGCGTGGGCTTCTGGCCGTCGAGCCACTTGCCCTTGCCCTTGCCTTTGCCTTCGCCGCGCGTGTCCCGCGCGGCGTCGCTGCTGGTGGCCTGCGCGCTGGGCGGCGCGTCGGGCTGCTGCGCGATGATAAGGATGCGCTGCGACCTTGGGGGCGGTTTTGCTGGTTGCTTCCTCCCTGTCGTGCAGCTGCCCAGCGACGGTGAGCGCTTCCTTGTTGATCCGGCAGGTGATTGTTGCAATGCCGATATCCCCATCGCCGCTTCTCGAGCGCTGTGCCCGCAACTTGCGAGCCGCGTCGTCGTAAAATATCGCCAGTTGATTGCGACGTTTGTGAGTCTGGGCCGTGGGCTACCTGCACGCGCGCGTCCCTGTCCGCGAAGCTCGGAGCCAATGTCAATTTATCAGTGGCCGCGGCCGCCGCCGAGAATCGCGACCACGCTGCGTGCCGCTGTGCAAAGTTGAACACCGCCATCCGATCCTCCCGCTTCGGCGCGATCTGCTGAGCTAGCTCCCTGATGTCTCGGGACGCTGGAGCTTCGCCCTCGCGGTCATCGCAGGCGTCTTTCGACGGGGGGGCCCACTCGGGCACCCGGCGCCGCAGGTCCGTGTGCACAAAGGGCTCCTTGACCCCAGTATTTTGCAGACGCGCCGCTTCCGTTGCGAGGGCGTCTGTGGGCGTCGACCTGACAGAGCGGCGCGGGGTCGCTGCGCTTCGTCGCTGCGCGAGAGATGGCCGCTTACTTTGGCCAGGGGGGCGCCTGTGGGCGGGCCGAGGTCGCGATGGCCAACTGCTCGCCGATGAGCACGTGGCTGCTGGCCTGCGCGCGTACAAGAGACCCGCGCAGCACGAGTGAGAAGTCAACGTGCTTCGCCTTTGCTGGTCGACAGCAAAGACGCAAGCAGGCGTTGCTCGCGGGCGCCCGGGGGCTCGCTTCCGCTCGCCGCACTTGGCGCCGCCTGCCGCTGCGCCGCGCGGGACGCGCGGGTATGAGAAGCATCGCTGGCGCCGAACCTCGCGTGGGTTGGCTCTATCCAGGGCGCGCCGAAGGTGCGATTTGCGGCGGCCGAAACGGAGCCGCTCGGTCCGAAATTCAAGTCCTCGAACTTGGGCCCAGCCGCTCGCCAGGGTTGCGCAGTCCACTCCGCGCCGGGATGTTCGCGATGCTTTCGAATAATGACTCCCCTTTGCCGTCTGTGCCGTCCACGCCGCGCGGGAAATCGATGAGTGCCGCCGCCGCCATAGCGTGCGCACTCTGCGGAACCGCGCGCCCCTGCTGGGCGGGCGCTGAATCCTCAGGCGTGCGCGCGACGAGCGCTGTGCCGAGTAATGCCGCGGAGCGAAGCGCGGCTGCGAGCGCGCGTGTGCTCCGCGAACCGACGGCGCCGCATTCGTATGAATTGCATGCCGGCGTGGCGCCGCGACGATGCGACGCGCGCGGAGGGCGCGCGCTCGCGCGGCGCGCGCACGAAGGGCGCGCGAGGGCTCGCGTGAGATGCGAGCGGGCGACGGTCGCCGCGCTGAACATTTCCGACCGCCGCGACGGGGCAGTGGGCCTTTGCGCCGAGACGCCGTGCCGGGTTGCGTCGACGACGGGGGGGGGCGCGCGGCGAGCGCTCGGGCGCGCGACGGGTGCCCGCGGCCGCGACGAGGCCATGTCGTTGCGCTCTGACGATCGCCCAGCAAACCGCGACGTGCGAGAGAGACGAGGAGGATGCGTGCCTGCGCGGGGGGGGGGGGGGGGGGGGCGCGGAGGCCGGCCGGCGCGCGCGCGCGCGGAGGAGGAGGCAGGGGCGACAGACGGGCGCGACGACCGCGGGGCCCGACGGGGGAGCAAGGAAGGGGGGGGGGGCGGGGGACAGGGGCGGGGGGGCGAAGAGGGGGGGGGGAGGCAGGGAAGGAGAGGGACACACAGGGCAGGGGAGTGGAAGGGGCGGGAGGGAAGGGGCGGCCGACAGGCGAGGACGACCGCGACAGGCGACATGCGTGGCGCAAGCCGATGCAAATGTCGCACCTGCGCGCGCAGCGCGCGCAGCGGGGCGGGCGCGGCCCTCCCCCCCGCGCGCGCCTGCGCGCGCTCCCTGCCGACCCATCGCCTGCGAGCGAGCGTCGCTGCGGGCGGGCGGCCCAACCCGCGCGCGCGCCGGGCCAGCGCGCCCGCGCGGGTCGCGCGGTGGCTGGCGGGCGCCGCGCCGCTGGATTGCGCGCGGCGCCCGGGCAATCGTCCGCGCCCTTTTTGCCGCCCCCCGCCTCTGGAGCGCCGCGCTTCTTCCCGGCGCCTGGGCGGGCGTGGGGGCCCAATGAGGCCGGGTGCGCGGGGGAAGAGGCTTCTGGCGCGACCCAAAAGGATCTGGTCGCCGACCTGGGCACCAAAGGGAGGGGCAAGGGCGCAGGAATGAGCGGATGCGAGGGTTGCCACTGCGCGCCTTGGACGCCCGAGGGAAGCGGCGTGGGGGGGTCTTCCCTGGGATATCGCAAGAAGCGGCTCCGGGAGATCAAGAAACCTTCGAAATGCAAGACCTGCGACGAAACGGGCCGCTGGTCCGGGAGCCCTGGATACAAGGGCAAGCCCAGGGCGGCAATGGTAGCGCGCGCTGCAGACACTGTCGAGCGCCATGTCCAGTTGCGCGATGACGATGGCGAACGAGAGTTTGCATCCGTCAGTTCTGTAGCTGCATCATCATCAATCCCTCATCATGCCATCAGGGTCAAGGAGGGGTCGATGAGGATGGATCCAGGTGTTTCTCGTTTCTGCTTTTCTTTCTCTTCTCGCGTCATGCGCCGCAGGGCGCGTGGGCTTGGGGGGGGGGATTGCGACGGGCAGTGTCGCTTGCAGCGCAACCACATTGAGCGTCATGTCTGTGTGAGTTGCGTGGGAATGAGGGAAGCCGCTCCGGTTCAGGGACCTCCGGAGCTCCAGGAGACGAGTCTTTAGGCCTCTGCAGAGGCTGAGGGGTGTACTCTTGGGTTCAGGGCTGTTCGCTCGACCGAATCCTAGTCTATGGCTAGTGTTTCGGACGGGGAGTTTGAGGGGGGGGATCTGTTTCGGATCCTATCTCTGGTCCTGGTCAGGATAGTGTGTTTGCTTCGTGTCAGCACAGAGGGCTTAGATGTGGTCGTGGTCTCAGGTCGTGGTCTCAGGGGCGCTCCAGATTACGTGGAGTGGGGTCGCAAGGTGAAGAAACCAAGTGGGGGCTTGGTTCTGTTCATAGGATGGCTCGATGGCATCGCCACTCGGGAGGGGCGCGGGCAGTTTGCGAGAGTTTCGGGGCCGAGAGTTTCCAGTGGCAAAGTTTTGCCTTCTTCGAGTTCTTCTTCGGGCCTGAGCCGGAAACCTCCAAATCCCCCGTTGCCTCATCCATGTTCTCCAGATTGTCAGAATCTCTCGGGAGTCGGTTCTAGTGCTCGTTTCATTGTTCGCACCTGCAAGGATTGTGGGCACAAGACCAAGAGGGAGAGGTGCGCGGCGCTGCGCTCTCCAGGTGAGCGTCCGCGCGATCTCGTGGATAATCGCTACAGTGCTCCAGATCTTGTTCGTGCGTACTGTTGTCGTTGCCTGACGTATATCGATGAGCAGCCCAGGAAGCTAGCAACATACAAGGAAGCAACAGCTAAGAAAGTTGGACGCTCCAGCAACATCCAAGCATAAACAATATATAATACCATTGAGGATGATCGCCGTATCACCTCTATAGAGCTCAAGCCTGTACTAAAGGATTTCACGAAACGTGCTGTTGATATTTGTGATGATACAGGCGACATTAGTACAGGTGAACTATCCACCCGCGTGTTTATATTGTGAGTTGCCGTACTTTGCAGAGCCGCTGCAGGGTTTGCGGGGTCGTCTGCAAGGTGTTACCAGGCATTTCAAGCTCTTGGCGGCTGTCTTCGCGGAGTCTTTTGCGCCCGGCCTTTGGGGGGGGGGGGGGGGGGGGGCTCTGCCGTGACCTCGGCGTGGTATTGCAGGGGTCTTTGCAGGGGGGGGGGGGGGGGCGCTGCAGGGCGCCCGGGAGAGAGATAGGGTGGGCGTCCAGGGGAGAGGTAGGGAGGGCGACAACCATCGCAAAACGGCGGCCAGGCATGAGGAGGGAGGTAGAGACGGAGAGCTCTCGCTGCCAGGCAGAAGAAGGGAGGAACATGGCGATGATGATGCTACTGCTGAGAAGGGAGCTGGTGACGGGCATCTAGGACCGTCTTGGAGCGCTCTTGAACAGTCTTGGGGCTCTCTTGGGCCCCTCTTGGACCGTCTCGCTTCGCGAGCCCCCTTGATATCTTCATTTTCCGAGGACTTCTCGAGCGACAGCCCCATTTTGAACAGAAGACGTCTTGAATTTCTGAGGACGTCTCGAGCGGGGGCAGCATTGTCATTGAAAAGCGTCTTCAACCACCTTCTTACCGATTGCATTTTTTTCGAGGATGTCTCGAGCGAAGCGGCCGTTTTGTCGGGGCATTTCTCGGCGTGGACGGGGGGCGCGTGAAAGCGACGAGCTTCGCAGGAACGTGCGTTTTCCATTTCCAGACCCTCGACTTCCCGACTCGCGTTCTCCCTGTGCCAGGTGGGGTGTACTTTCGGCGCGAGCTCAGACGAGGCGCGCCTCCCGATGGCGTATCTCGGCGTGATCCGTCTCCAGACCCTCGACCTCCCATCTCGCATCCCCTTAGTTCAGCTCGAGTTTGCTTTCCTCGCGAGTTCAGATGACGCGCGCCTCCCACTGGCGCTTCTCGGCGCTATCCGTCCCCAGTCCCCATCTCCCCACTCGAATCCTTTAATTTCAGGTCGAGTTTAATTTTCCGCGCGAGCGCAGGCGAGGCGCGCCTTCCGCTGGTGCGTCTCGGCGCTATCCGTCTCCAGACCCGTGACCTCCCCGCTCGCGTTTCCCTGTGTCAGGTCGAGTTTACCTTCCGCGCGAGTGCAGGCGAGGCGGCGCCCCCGCGGGCACATCTCGGAATCGTGCGTGTCCAGGTCCCCAACTTCCCCGGTCGCGTTCGCCATGTAGACTTTGCTTCCCGCGCGAGTTCAGACGAGGCGCGCCCGCCGCTGGCGCATCCCGGCATGATCCTCGCTCGCGTTCCCCATGTGTCAGGTCGAGTTTACTTTCTGCGCGACTTGCGAAGCCCCCCCCCGCTGGCGCACCTCGGCATTGTCCGTGTCAAGGCCCCCGACCTCCCCGCTCGCGCTCCCGCGGGCCAGGTGGGGTCTACTCTACTTTCGGCGCGAGCTCAGACGAGGCGCGCCTCCCGCTGGCGCATCTCGGCATTATCGGCCTCCAGACCCGCAGCGCCCCCCTCTCATTCCCCCGTGTCAGGTCGAGTGTGCTCTTCGCTCGAGTGCAGACGAGGCGCGCCTCCCGCTGGCGCATCTACGGTGGCGACGACGACGATGGCGATGGTGACGACGACGGCGATGATGGCGACGACGGCGATGACGCTGACGACGACCGTGACGACGACAATGACGAGGAGCAGGAGGACGACGACAACGACGACGACGATGATGATGACAACGGTGACGACAACAACGACGGCGGCGATGCATATTCTGATGATGTCTCGAGCGAAACGCATACTTTTGAGCGAAATTGTTGTTGGCCTTTTTTCTCCCTTTCTTTCGCCCTCTTCTTTTTTCTTCGTTCCCAGCGTATTTTGCATTGCATCTTGGGCCATCTTGGGGGCCCCTCCAAAGGAAGTCTCCAACGTGTGTCGTGAGACAGCTTATTGCGCATCGCTCTTCTTTTATGGGTGTCTCAGGCGGGGGCGTCATTCTCGAGGACGCGACGAAGTCGCAATCTCCCTGGGCATCTCCGTTTCCTGAAGATGTCGCGGGCGAGAGCTATTTTTCTAACGTGGGAGGTCCAATCGCGGCTCTTTCGGCATTTATTTTTTCCAGAGGATGTCTCAGGCGGAGCGCCCATTCTGGGGATCGGCGGATTTTGCGAAATATTTCAATATCCCCATGTTTGAGGACGTCTGCAGCGAGAGCTCCATTTGTTTAGCGTTATGCGCCCTGAGAGTAGATCTTCAGATGTCTCCATTTTGCGAAGGTGTCTCAGGCGAAATGGCCATCCCGCGTAAATCCGCCAGGGTCAAATCGCGGGGCGCTTCCGAGCCCTGCCCCTCCAGCGCCTCCGCAGTTTTTTTTTAAAAAAAAACGGCATCCCCTTCCGCGCCCGAGCCGACGTCTATCGCGCGCCTCTTCGAGTCGCAGCGCGCTTCCCGTCGTCCGCCCCCGTCGCCCGCCAAGCGTAAAATAATTGCAATCGCGAGCCCGTTGCCGCTCGCGTCTTTGTTCCCCATTCATCCTGTAGAACGCATCCTACATCAAACTCGCATCGCCTTCTCGTTCCGAGGAGGCGCTTCCCGTCATCCGCCGGGCGGGCGATCCCGAGCGAGCGCGAGCCCGTTGTCTCTCGCGTCTCTGTTCTTTGGTAATTATGTAGCTAGTGGGCGGCTATCCCCTTCTCGCTCCGAGCAGGCTCCTCCCTTCGCCCGCCGTGCGGGCGATCCCGAGCGAGCGCGAGCCCGCTGTCTCTCGCGTCTCTACTCTTCGCGAATTCTTCAGAAAGTTTCCTACGCCAAGCTCCCGTCTCCTCGTTCCGCGGAGGCGCTTCCCGTCGAGCGGTCGCTTCGCTCGAGGCATCATCGGGGGCGCGAGGTCTACGAGGGCGCGGTTTAAGACGCTGCATATTAAACGTGAGGCTCCTGCCCGAGACATCTTCGGATATTGAGTTTACCGGGATCATGCGAATTCGTCGAAATCCGCCGAGCGTCGTCCCAAGCCAGCAGGATCTGATCAGGCTCATCGCGAGGGGAGACGCTCCTTCGCCAATTCCCCTTCCGACGCCCATGGCGAAGTCGGTGATGATGACGTTGCGAAGACGGCCAGAAGATGCCATGTGGAAGTCGCGCAAGGGCCAGGGTATGATGAGGGCTGCGTCAAGGACATCATGGAGCGATGCGAGGGCCTGGGCCTGCAGTTCTACTTCCGCACCTGCGCTGAAGACGGTCGCACCCCAGTTGACTGCGTTCGCTTCGTCAGCGAGGCCGCCGAGTTCATGGAGAGAGGCGCCGCGCGAAGGCCACAGGGAATTACCTTTGTTGCTGCTGGTGATCATGGCGATGAGCCTTCGGCCACGGCAGGACCGGCCGCCCCCTGGAGAGCAGACCCGACGCCAAGCTCGGGGGCGGAAAAGAGGGGGGTGATGACTAGGGGGGGTGGATATCATGGCGTGGGTCATGAGATTTCCCCAGATTTGATGGCGACTCTTCTTTTTTCTTTACGTCCCTGTCCCCCCCGCTGGGCCGCGCACATGCCGCCGTTCATGATTTGCACCCCCCCTCTTGGACACCCCCCTCTTGGCTGCTCCCGACAAGCGGGCGCAGATGAATCCGACTCCGAAGCGCAAGGCGGAGGCTGATCCGCCCGCGGCTGCCGCGTTGATGCAGAGGCCGCCGTCGGCATCGCCGCCGGCATCTCTTCGTGCTCGGGGGCCTTCAATGCCGCCGCCGTCTCGTGCGCCGAGGGCAGTTGCGCCCGTGCCGCCTCCGCCGCCGCCGCTTGCCGGCGCGGCTTCTGCCCGGGGGCCCCTGGGCAGGGGCCCGCGGATGGGCGACGACAGGGGCGGAGATCCAGTCGTGGGAAAATCATCTCATCACGTATGTTGATCTTATGACAGTCTCTCAGTAAGGAGTGACATCGGCATCTAAGCAAACTGACAGCGCGTGAACCTCACGTTTGATCTTTATGACGCGGAGATTGAATATCTTACGTCGTGGGCCAATTGGCGCAAGTACTATGGGCCGTAAGAAGGAGGCGCAAAAGGTGGGAACAGTTTGAGTATCGCTCGCTCCTGGACTCGTGGTTTGACGCACAGGAGAATGTCTGGATACTTGTTTTTATCCTTTCCGCCTCGTATGCATCAGGACGGAACTGCTTATTCGCGCGCGCCCCTCAGAGTTGATGAGCACCAGATGGCCGCCATGAGCGCAAAGAAGCGCGAGCGCTACTGTGCCGGGCTGGTAGATGCGGACAAGAAGTAGTCCATCATCTTCTCCGTGGGCAAGGTTCTATGCCCCATCGTCGGCCTCGCCTGCGCGGGGGCCGCCGGCGCGAACGGCGCGGCGGAGGGTGCTGTGGTTCGTGCAGCCCTGGACGCATGCGCGGAAAAGGATATCCTCACTCTGATCTCGTAATCGCCAACGACACTGGTCATGAGATCAGCAGTGCCCGTTGTTGTTTTGCGGAGTTGTCAAAGAGTAGTGGCTCGGTCACCGTTGCGCTCGGTCGCGACGCTGTTTGCTCGGGCCTTTGCGCTCCGAGTGCGCTGAACCCTTGCCTGGAGGCGGACGCCCGACGCTAGTTTGCATGAGTTTCTGGACTTCCTGCGTGACCTCGGTCATCAGATGCGGCTAGATCGTCCTGCTGCGACCGCCTTCCCAGCTGATGCTGCCGAGGAGAGTGTATACGCGCTGCTCGATTCAGTCGATGTCGACGCGGACGTCGCTGTCGAGCCACGGGAATTGCTGGTGGATGCATATCAGTGCATCCTTGAGGAGTCACCGCATCCCAGAGCGCCGTAAACGGCAGGTGCTCGGAGAAGGGCTTGGCTCATATTGCCCCTCAGTGTAAGGGTCGCCATTCGGCGACGTCGTCGGCGGTTCGGACACGCGCCAAATAGCGTGCTGATTCAGCTCGTGAGGCTATCGCGAATGTCAGCAGAGTGCATTGAAACAGCAAAGCACCACAGGTGCGAGTCTCGTGAACACCCCGAGCCGCTAGCCCAGACTCAGAAGGTCGCTGCGCCCAAGAAATTCAGCAGAGAAGGGTGCACCTTCCTGGAGGTTATCTGCCAGGGGACTACGTCACAACATGTCATATTCGTGCGCCGAGGTGGCGGCGCGCCATCCTCAAGGGCGTGCCTCGCGACATTCCAGCAGCATTGGTGCGCGTGGGCTTGTGAACCCAAGCGAATTGTGTTGGATCGGGGACTGCGCGATCGAGGTGTTTCCCTTCAGTGGGTTACGAGCCAAGGGATCGACCTCCGTGACGCAGGAGTCGAGCCCCGGGGGCAAATCGGGCGTGCTGAGAGGTGTCGTGGTCTATGGAAGAACGTATTCAAGAAAGTAGTTTGCGACGAGAATGTCATCGGACTTGATGAAGTAGTGGGCAGCCGCGTAATTCGACAGCGCAAGGAACGAGATATCTCGAGACGAGCAACCAGCGTCACGGCCACCGCAAGTGATCCGCGCGCCATTGCAGAGATCTCTGCTGTATCATGTGGCTCACGGAGTACTTGGTCGTAGTGAGTTGATGCGTAGGAGGCTCGCGGTAGGTGGGCCAGCATCAGCTGCTGAAAAGACACTGGGATATTTTTCGCTGGACTAGTTGCCGGAGCGAGGACCCGAGTCAGCGAGTTCGTCGCTCGAGCGTGGTGTAGGTATGGTACCGCAGGTGCGGGCGCGGAACTACTGCAGAACAGGGCAGCATCCATAGCTGTCAGACCACACGAGTCACTTGTAGGATTCTTCAAAGAGCGTACCGTCAGCAAGACCCAGTCACGGGAGAAAGTGCAGAGTGCTAAGAACCGGGTATATCACCGAGAATCAGAAGACGTCAAGAGCGGGTGACGACTCGCGAGACACGATGACTGGGGAAAACGGAAAAGTTTCATGAAGCAGTGCCCATATAGCCCAAAGAGCTATGGGAATTCTTGGACGAAGGGTATCGCGCGATTTCAACACAATGGATTGATATTGATAAGGATGAGCATCTTCGCGCAGCAGTTGGGCCACCAGTTGCGCCCCAATGCAAGAGCAGACTCGTCGTGCGAGGAGATTTAGAGGAGTCGCTTGGGATTCGCGCGTATGTACCGACGTGTGAACTCGAAGGTTTAAGGCTGATAGTGTTCTGGGCTGCAGGTGCGAGCAGGACTCTGATTTCTGCCGACGTATTTCTGCGAACTTCCAGGGGCAAGAACTCGACCGTCTCGTGTTGCTCAAGCCACTGCCAGGCGCGTAGAAGGAGCCCCGGAGGGCGGGGCGCTTATCGCCCGCATGCCCGTTAACGGAGCCCGCGACGCGGGTGGAGGTTTACGGGGGGAGATACGCCAGCGTTTCAAGGCGCATGTATTGAGAGAGTCGTATCGTGCCAGCTTCAGCATCGCAAGCGACGAAGGTGGATTCACGTGCGTGTTAGGCACCCATGTAGACGATATCTTGCGGGCTGCGGACCACGAGAGCCACTGTATTATTGATGCATCATTGGCGGAGCTTGATATTCGACGACTTAAGCTAGTAGCTTTCCCTTACTGTGGGTGGGAGTTTGTCGAACATGCGGATTATGTCGTTCATGTCAGTGCGGAGGGTAACATTGGGAAGATTCAGGCCGCGTATAATCCCAGGGGTCGCCCCCGTACCAGGCAATTCAATGAAGGTTGGGTATTCCAACTAAGGTCAGTTGTTGGTGCTTCGGGTTGTCAGATGCCACGGAACGTTGACGCGAACCACCCTCTTCGCGAGCAAGAAGTTCATGAGGCCGCGTGTTCAAGGAAGGATGACAGCGCAAGAAGGCCTGTGCTGCCCAGAATTGATGGGGCCACGGTGGAGCTTGCGCGCGCGGCGAGCGACCAAGGGCAGCGCGAGGGCAGAAGGCGAGCGAAGACAGCGGCGTCGACTAAATAAGTGGACGGGGAAGGAAGCGTGACTTTTATGGGGGGCCCAGGAACGCCATCGCCGAAGTCACATGTAATTTGGCAAGAGACAAACGCGGCCACCGATGGGGGTGCGCAGAGTGTGACCTCCAGGTTTGGGCGAACATGCCAGTCGCATGGGATGGCAGTGGGGCAGTCGCCAGCATCGCTGCAGTCGCCCGCCAAGGAGTACATGTGGTGCATAACAATGAAGACGGATGACAGCAAGTATAGGGCGACGTGACAGGATATGAATTGATTCCTGAAGTAACGGCCAAGGCCAGACAAGACGATGGGTCAATGCCGTAGACATCAGGTGTGCGTAAGTCAAAGAAGATGAGTGTTGGCGAGCAGCCGCGCAGGCGCCAATAGGCACCAGGTGGATAGTCATCGGTGTGGGGTGGGTGTGTGGGGGGGGGGGGGGCATGATGTCAGACCGGGTGGTAGGTCGAGATTTGGTTGCTCAGCAGGTCCAATCTCGCCCCAAGAACAATATTTCTGCAGCGAGGCTCCCGCTTGAGGGGCGCGTTTTTTTTTCCAGGGGAGCAGTTGCCGAGGGAACTGAGGCAGGACTCAAGAAAGCCATCATCATCATCACCGTTGCCATCAACTGGGCGTCCTTTAACGCGCCGACATCGAAGAAATCTGCGCCAGGTTGCCGCCGGCAGATCGCGAGCCAGGTGGGCGTGGCAAGTTACTTGTGTCGATATGTGGGGCCCGGGATGGGGCGAGGAACTGGGGGGATTGTTTCGCGGGCTTCTGCGAGACACCGGCTTCGCGCCGGGGCGAGCCTCGCCGTGTGTGCAAACGTGATCGCCGAATCTTATTTGCCACTATACATGGTGACGGCTTCGCGATGTCAGTAGGCGATGTTGACTTTGGCTGGTTCGAAGCGATGAGAAAGGAGGAACGCGAGGTGAAGGTAAGAGGGGGTATGGGCCAGGGGAGCAGGACGACGCATCAGTTCGGATACTTAACCGAATCGGGGAATGGGCGCGCGATGAAGATAGGCAGAGTGTAGACCAGGGACATGCTGAGATAATCTCGAGGGAACTAGGCTTGGAGCATGACCGAGTGAGGTGCTAGGTGCCAGGAGAACGTTGCCCTGGGGGAGCACGGTTGGCCGGTGAGCATGGCGGACCGTAAGAAGTATCGCGCAGTACTGGCCCGGGCGAAGTAAGTTGCCGAAGACAGGGGTGACGTGCAGTATTTTGTGCATGATCTGTCTTTCGCATCTCGACACCCGCGGTAGAACCGTGGGCGGCCTTGCGCAAGCGTGCCGAGTATTTGAAGGGCTTTGCTCGCGCGAGATAGATATGAGTATCGTAAGCCACCTGGGAACTTTGCAGATTGGATCGGCGCGTATTGCGGGGTGTAAGACAACGTGGGGATCCATCAGTGGGTGGGTGTGTGTGTGTGTGTGTGTGGGGGGGGGTAGTGATGTTGGGACGTCTCATGATAATACTTTGGCGCTTCACACATTCGACGATTGTATGGCCGCCAGGAGAGGCCAGGTATTGCGGCGTGGTAAATGGGGGCTTCTGTAGCACTTGGGCTAGAATCAGTATTCAGGAGTTTTCGAGTACTGCGCGGCATTGAACTCCAATGCGGTGCCACAGCAGCTGTTGCGATGGCGGCCAGGAGGAGGAAAGATACAGTTCGCGGGGAGGGGGAACATCAGGGTGGCCAGAGTGGGTACAGGCATAACTTAGCGAATGCGCTAACTAAGTATGGGAGCAGAGACAGCGGGAAGCTGCGCGCGGGGAGAATAGGGCAGAGCCTTGACAGAGGGCGGCGCGAGTTAGCATCGGCGACAGAGTGCTAAATCACCCGCAGCCATTGTAGCGCAATTTGCCGCGACGCGCCTCCCCTTGACGCTTGCCTTTCGCTTTTCACATCACACGTCGCTCGACCCGCTCGCCGTGGCTGGGGCTGGCCTCGCGGAGCTTAACCTCGCCCCGATTAGGAGTTGAATGTGCATGGGCAAGATATTGACCTCGGCGCCCCAGACATCAAGGCCACGGGGGTGTGAGCGACGTTGGCGACGAGATGGCATGCGCCCTGAAGCGTGGCGCCCTGGTTCGCCACGCCATCTGGCAGCGCAGCTGCTTCGACGTGGCCAGGTCCACAATGGGCGCGCGCATGGCCAGGCTGGCGCGCAATGCCATGGGCCCCGCGGGTCACGCAGCGAACGGCAACGCAATCCATATCGCATGGAGGTGGCCGGCGAGTTGACGGGTCGCAACGCTGCGCTCGTCGAGAACCGCAGGGAGCTCTGCGAAATTAGCGACGGTCTGCAGGAACAACGTGATGAGTTCAAGGAGAGGCCGCCAAAGACGCCGAGCGCGTGGTATCGATGCGCGACGTCTCGAGTTATCAGTTGAGCCATCGCGGACCCTTGCGCAAGTTCGCTGGGCGCTCGCAGGGGCGATTCAGCACTGAGCGCGGCGAGCAAGGCCGCCAGATACCAATGGGGGCGACACCGGGGGAACCGTTGATGCCAGGCTGGGCGCAAAAACCAAAACCAAGGGCGAGGAGTTCTTGCCCGAGGAGGCAACTCCACCGAACCCGCCAGGTCCATCGATCAATCGCGTCCGGCTCAGGCGCATTGGCCCAGGCCGTTCCAATCCTCAACTTAAACGCGCGAGGAGCAACGCCATCAAAATCACCGAGGGTAAAGTTGTCAAGGAGGAAGACAAAAGGGCGAGCTCACCACCGAGGGAGTCTGACGTTTTACCAGAACTACAGGGCGAAGTAACCAAGGGCAAAGGCAGTAACCGGGGTGACAAGGGGGCGGGCAAATCTGAGGATCACCCGGGGCCTCCGCCATCACCCAAGGAGGCTCCCATGGGGATTCCACCCCCGCCGCGAATGCCGAGCCCAACGCTTGCTCCTGTGCGTATGCATGGTGATAAACATGTGAGTCCCGATTTTGGCAGATTGCCACTTGGGCACCTCATTGAATCGCGTGGTGACTTGATCTCATTCGTGAGGTCCCCCCCACCATAATTCCGAGTTTAGGCTAGACAGGCAGATGTGGGAGTGGTGGGGTGGTCGGTTTCGGGTTTGGCTTAACGGCGAGATGCGCGATTTAGAGGGTCCACTTGGTCACCCCATAACCAGGGGAGCCTGCAGAAGCCACCAGGATTTGTACAGGAATCTGCATGGCAGCGTTTACCGTGTGATGCCCATCGCTTACCTGGAGGGGCCGCCGGTCTGGCGCAGCGCCCTCGGCGAGCATCGACTGCGGGGGCGCGGCGCGTGGGCTGAATTGGTAGGTCCTATTTAGTGCCAAAGCCCCAGTGGCATCGATGTTGACCCTGGGGCTAGAGGTACCTACGCACATACCCAGGCCAGTGTGCGATTGGGACAGACCTAACAAAACTCAAGTGTACATTTTTCACGCACAAGAGCTTCAGGAACAAGAATGCGTTAACCTCACCACCACTTGTTTGATCATATTCTGGCGGGTTGACCCCGCGATCTTTGCCGTGGGGATGTGGTGGGTGCAGCGACGTGACCAGTCGGAACGATCGCGGGGACATCATCGCTGGCGCCTTCGTTATGCGATTCGCATCCAAGGGGTTGACGCGGGAATTTGTGACGATCGGGGACGGCCTGGATATCTACTGCGTAAATTTTTGAAGCCGGCGCCGGGAAGCGTAACAGGATCGCTAATTAACCGGTTGGCGCACCGGCCCTTACCTGTTACCGCGAAGTCTTGTCAGTGGAGATGTGTGACCATGAGAATTTCGGGCCGTTGCGAATCCGCCCCGGCGACAGCTGGGTGCACCCGTTCCCCCTTGACTGGGGCAGGCGGATGGAAGATTCTGTGGCAAGCGCAGATCTCTTCATCTAACTGCCACATGCGGGCCATCGAACAGACCTGGGCGGTGAACGGAGAGTCGTAACCTTCAGCGGGCGTTGCCTAACGTCAGGTTCCCAAACTGTACGTCCTTGCAGGCCGCAGGGCATTTCCATGGCATCCTTGACCACACGGTGGCAAATATTCCCAAGAGTGACCTCGAGGAGGTACCGGGGGCCTGGGCGGTCAGTGACGAAGAGGATGCCGCCTGCAACGACGCATCGCCGCTTCATGGGTAAAGTCGACGGCCAGCGCATGCTGGGCAGGAAGCGTGACCAGGAGGACAAGATTGTCCGCCTGGATCACGGTAAAGGCATAGGCGAACGTCCGAGGTCGAGGTCAGCGCGCTCCAGGTGCACATGGTGAGCGGCGATACGTAACCAAGTGGTTCATGTCCTTCTTTTTCGTGCTCCACGGTCTGTTGCGCGAATAGCCATGGACAGTATCAAGACAATGTGAACAGGCAGGTGGTTGTGGCACATGACGGTAGAGCGGGTATCCCGCCGTAATTCAAGTCATCTTCTATGCCGTGGAATCGTGTTCACCAAGCATCTTTGTGAATCCAGAACGTTGTTAAACATGCTGTGTACAAATTTTAAGTTCGTCTTGTCCACTCGCCAACACAATCAGGACGCCACCGCTTGTGTGCTGTCGAGTCAATTCCAGCTTCCACCGGTGATGGGGCAGATTTTATGAGGTCGCAGGTAAACGGCCCGTCCTGGAATTCCAGGTCGAAGGGGATGTTGTGGTGTAGGGCGCCAGCTTAAATACTGTGCAACCGCTGGCTTTTGGCTCAAATGTTTTGAGTCAGCAAGCTTTTGGCCCAAAACTCAGGCACGGTGGCGGGATGGGCCAAAGGCCATGGATAAACCAGCAATTGGCCTGGCAATGGGCCCATCCCTGCGCGGCACTTTCCTCATATATTGCGCGCCGCGGGACTTAGCTGATAGCGAGCTGCCGCAGAGCAAACGTGCGCAGGCGCACCGAAATCCGAGTGGGACACGATCCGCGTAAAAAGGGGTTGCAGACTACTTCGTGTGCGCTCGTGCGAACCTGCCCACGCAGGTGGAGCCCTTTGTGGGGCATCACCCGTGTGAGGCATGTGCCAAGAAATGGGCGGGGGGGAGCTATGCGAAGTTGTCCATTGGAGACATAGGTGAAGTTCGTTCGGGGGCACGATTCGCGTGAACAGTTTGACGACATGGGTTGAGGGGCGATTTGCAAACCTTGTTTCTGGGGCTGTGGGTGGTGCTCCCTGTTGGGCACGTTCCGCGTGAGGGGTGTGCCGCAATGGGCGGGGGGGGGGGACGCGATGCGAACCTTGTCTCCGGGGCCGTCGGTGGAGCTCGCTGTAGGGCACGCTTAATGTGAGAGTTGGGCCGAAGGCAGCGGGGGAGCGACTATTGGGCCCCGCACTCTTCTTCCGCCAGAAACCGCATGATTCTTCCAGCTGCAGTGCTCAACGTCCTCGCAATTTTGCATGGCGGCTCCCTTTGCCCAATGAGATTTTGGTTCTGGGGCCGTAGATGGAACTCGCTGCAGGGCACGATTCGTGTTAGAGGTGTGCCGACATGAGTGGGGCGACGCTAGGCGAAGCTTCCCTCCAAGTGCAGTTACCTGCGGGGCAGCACGATCTGCGTGAGTGGTGTGCCGATCTACGATGGGGCCGTAGGTGTAGCTCCCTGTGGGGCACGATCTTTGTGAGGGGTGTGTCAAAATGGGTGGGGGCCTTGAGTGAAGCTCCCCGGGGGCACGATCCGTGTGAAGGATGTGCCGATGTAGGCGGGGGGACACTATTCAGATATGCGTGCCTACGATACCGCATGTGTTCCCATGCTGTGATCGTGGCGGGATGGCGTGCGTGCGTACCCATCCGCTGATTGATATGAGGCTGGCTTTGCCTTAGCTAGAGCACGAGCGTGCGAAGCGCGCGCGCGTGGTTCCAGTACCCAGTTCGCAGGATGATCATTCGGAGGAGCGAGGCGAGACGAGGCGAGCACGGCTAGCAGTGCTGGTCAAGCACAGGAAAG